ATTTAAAAATGGAAGTAAAAAGTTGGCTTGAAACACCAAATCAAAGTTAGGCAGTGCACATTTTCAACTTAGCAAGACAGGCAGGAATAGAGTTGAATTTCTGTTTCAAAAAAGAATTTAATTTTAGACACCTTCATGTAGATGTTTCACTTTCAATGAATTGGCATTTTTAAATGTAAAAACATTCCATCGGAAAATTTCCAACCAGTTTTATTACTTACTTAATAGACACATGCAAAATTTAATTCCTCTCTTTCTCTTGTCTGTTAGGAGTTACTTCCAGACACATGGTATTACCTCAGGCCTTCATCAACTGCTTTTCAGTTGCAGAAACCTCTATATTTAAAAAAACTCCCTGAAGTATTACGGACATGAATATAATTTCATTTGACTTGGGACAGTCCTCAACGGGCTACAAAAGTATATTTCAACAAACAATTAAAATACAGTCGTATTTAAAGAAAAAAAAAACCAAAAAAACCACCACCACACAACCAACCAAAATCAAAAGCCCAAATCAACAACAACCATGCATAAGATGATTTAGAAAAACAAAACAAAACAACAAACCAGCACACTTTATATCTTTTGCTGTTCTGTGTGTTCACAACACCGATTGTCGAAGCTTTTACCAGATGCTGGGAAATTTTTGCCAGCATGTGTTCAAATGAAATTACTTCCAAAATAAGAGATGATCTGGAGGTTAATAAAAAAACCCTACCACCTTCGTAAGTTTCCACAAATAATAAACTTAAAACAGCAGATAATTTCCAGCTATCAGACATTTCAATACTCAATTTACTGTGGGTTTGTTTTTTTTTTTTGAGGCATATTCAGAGAAATGGCTAAAGGAACTGTAATGGCCTTCTGGGACAGGAAGACTAAGGTTTCTGTAAAAAATGTTAAATTAATTTTTATAGTGATGCAAAGTCAGGGAAGGGTTGTTAAGGGATGGCCTCTTGCCACAGGGTGGAGTTTTGTTTTGGTATCCTTTTAGAGTCTGCAGGTGTTTGGCAGGAGCTGAAATCAGGGCCAGCTGTGATATTTCAGCTCTGATATTTCCCTCCCCATATTTCTCAGAAGTGATGCATCAGGGTGATGTCTTACACCTGATGTACTCAACTTGTGTGGTATGACTGTAACTGCCTTGGGGGTGGGGAGTACCACTGTATGGCTTCCCTTTTGATTTTCAGCTGGCAACATCCATATAGTAAAATTCATCAACATGAATGGATTTAATCTGGTAAAACATCAGATAAACAATTTATTAAACTGCCCATAATATTTCTGGGTTTTTTTGTTGCTTCTTACATATGCCAGCCATTTAATTAAAGCAATAACACTGTATAAGAACCATGAAAGAAATTACATTGTGAAAAAGGGGAGGGTAATGTTTTAAAGAAAACAGAAAAAACCTTAAGTCCCCTCACTTAACCAAAGATCTTTGTTCTTTCATACTTAGCTGCAGTACAGTGCGTACCTGTTTTTGTTTTGTTTTATCTTTTGGGAGAATTTGAATAGTTTCTATTAAAAATTGTATTCTCTTTTAAGTTTGTTTTGTTTGGAAAACCTCAAACCACATTGTATTTCATACACATGTTCCCCAGGGCATTTTAAATGGGACCATACTGAGGTCACTAGTAAGTTTTTAAACCGTTTTAAGAATTCCTTTAATGTTTGTACTATCTTGGCCTGGTTAAAAGCACACATTTTTAAAAAATAGCTTGAAAAAGTTTGACTACAAAAAGCTTCATTAAAATAGTCCATACTGTACTATTAAGAGTTTGTAAGAACTTCTACAAACATTCTTTCCTCCCTTTTGTTTTTAGGAAAATTGTTCCCTTAACTAGCGAATCTGTTCCTCTTTCTCTCAGCCTTTTTATCCATACATGCACAAGTACCCATATACTTCTATCCAGAGACTGATTGACTTAGCAGTACAAATGCCTGTGGTATTCATTTTAACCTCACAAATGAATAAAATATTATAATCAGTGGGAAAAGTGGACATTTCACTCCATTCATGGAAAAAACAGTATCACCTGGCACTCTAACTTAGTAAAAAATGTCATGTTTTTTGGCAGCTCACTTGGAGTATGATTGAAGCCGTTGATGACATTAACAAAATGTCCTGGGATCAAAAATGTGTTGGTTTATCTCAGTTTATAGAAGAAGTTATACAAACCACTCCGGGCCTTCACAGTTCTGATGTCCTTTTAGTTAAAATAAAATAAAATAAATAAGAGGTTAGCAAGACCTAAGTATTACCTATTAGAGGTAGATTAGAGTTTGCTTATATTGAAGTATCACCAGGTTTGATGCTTTTCTGGAGTCTTTGCAATGGTTGAAAGCAAAGGAATATGAAAAGCAGATTACGGCGTTATGATAAACTCTTCATTTTACATCACACTGTTTGTACTTGTTGTTATACAGTACTAGTAAGTCAGGTTATTAAATGAAAGCTGAGTGACATTTTTCCTAGAAATGTCTTTTCTGATCTAAACTGAGCCTGAAAAAAAACCCTTTATAATAAAGGGAGCACCGTGAAGAATGATTACAAAGTTCTCATACTTAATGACCGGGTTCAGCTTTACACATGAGAAAAATCTGGCTGTGATTACAGTCTGTTCTTGCTGATGGGTGCTGGTTTTTCCCTGTTATAACTGGGATTTCACCGTGCAGAAGATACCGAGATTATGGATTCCCAGTTGTTGCTAGAGTTCTTCCCTACTCTTAAACATAGTCTCTGGGCACTGTCATGCTTTCTGAGGTTTCAGAAAACAAAATTGCAGACCAGCTTATGAAAGAGCAAAGCTATACACAAGCGTGTGTGTTTATCTCAGACACGTGCTGTCTATACAGCAGCAGAAAGATGAACAAGCGGAGGGAGACTGGGCAAGGTACCATGGCAAAAACTACAGTTCAGAACAAACGTGAAAGTGAAAAGCTTTGCTTGAACTGTCCCTAAGCCTTTAAATCCAAGCTACAGTTAAGTGACTCAGGGCAATGAAGCCACCTGTGACGGTCTAAAGTCTTCACCATCAAAATAAAAATGTGGCTGAAGTTACAACTCTCTGAATCGCTAGTCTGCTGGATGGTCTCAGATACGTAAAGGTGGAGTGAGTGGCTTAATTTTATATAAGTGATGTAAAGTAAATATCTTGCCATAAGAGCAATACCTTAAAACATCAACACTTTTCCATATTTCAAGAAAGAAGAGGAAAGAACTGCAGTCCTCTTCCCCCCCTTGAACAGGACAATAACCATGAGGCAATGCTTAAGGAGGCAGGCAGCACCAGAAACAATCCAAATGGATAAGGTGCAGCATCCCCACAAATACTGACATTTCATTTCCAATAGTAATAAGAACATAGTGTCTGAGTGCCACTTATTTCAGAGTAGGGTGTAGAAAAGACAATGTTTTCAGTTTCATGAGGAAGAAAAAGAGATTGGTGTGTCCCTTTACGGGAAAATATTTTGAAATATTTGAAAAATTTGAAAAAAATATGGTGGTATCTGACTGCAAAGAACTGTGATACCTTTTATGGATAGGCTAACTACATCAGGTAATAACCTGACATTTATATAACATGATTATAATATATATCATCATAACAATAACATATATAAAATAATATTCAGGTGAGTTTAACAAAAGCAAGGTAAGCAAGCTAACCTCTTTCCAGTTTGGGAGGTAACAGCAATCCCACGACATGGTATGTTTTAAAAAGCCGTCTCTTTCAGAGTGGACCTGACTTCTTAAATTCACAGCATCAAAAAAAGCACAAAGAATATTTTTCCAACATTGCCCCAAGCACAGCCAAGTCAACCTTGTTCAGACTGAAAAACTCTCACTGTATGTTCTTCAAAGCCCAACCTTAGTCCCTCTGAAAGTTATGAAGTAAAAAATCTGGCCCATGCATACTTTACAGTAAGAAAAAAAAACTTCCTTCTTTGCAGTAGCCTAACAAATATTGTCTTGTACCTCTAAAAGTATAATAAACATATTTATAACAAACATTTATTATAAAGATATTCCCTTACGATAGAGACTGTTTTACCTCTTCTTCTTTCCCAAAGACTACAATTGTAGTCACCATCCTGACAAACACTTCTTCACAGTAGACATGAACACGTATAAAATTGGCTGCTTTTTCCACCCTCCCCCCTCCAATGGTCAATCATTTTTCTGGTTATTATTAGAAATTAATTTAAAGAAGATTCATCACACAACAAGATAGCCATAAAATACTCTGTTACACTATTCAAGACAGCATAAACCAGTTTGTGTCGGGCCCTTTAACCCTTCATAAGCCAGAGGGTGAGAAGCGGAGGGATCAGGGAATATGCAGCTGATATAACTACAGATACTCAAAAGTACAAATACTGTTTATAATTAAGTATAGATGCAATTCAGTGACAGACTTAACATTTTAAATAAATAAATAAAAAGCTGGAGTGTTCTCAGCCAGAGAAACCACCAGGCCAAGAAAAGGTTAAAAATCTTTCTGCACATGACTTTCATGCTTCATTTTTCTGTTTCCAATCAAAAAGTTGCCTTATTTATTTTTTTTTTCAAGCAGTAGAGATTCTGGTTATCCATACTCCATACAGAAAATCGGTTGCTTGTGGACAGCAAGAAAGGTACTTTTCTGCACTAAATATCTGACAAAATGCAATCATATATTATATTACAGTTTCTTTCCCTGTTTTACCAGCCATTTTTGAAAGACAGACTCCATACAAGACATGGAATACCTATAGTTTAATACATTATGGCAAAATCTCTGTTCCCAAGCATGCAATTCATTTAAGGATCTGTATTTATTACGCCATATTATTGGCTTAAGCTCAATCCACCATATAACTCAATCCACTATAACTCTCAAATCCCATTTTAAAGTAGCTGAAAACAGGTCTGAGTGGCAGGAAAGGTGATCATTACTAGCATTTGTAAAACACATGTAACAATGTATAGAAAAGACTCGGCGAGAACCAACCTGAGGATCCGAGAATACTTGCTGCATATTGTTGATTGGGCCATATGGAACCCCACTACCTTCAAAGAGCTGCAACCATTCGGTCGTTGCTTTTTCTGAAAACCTAAGAGCAAATAAGAAGCATGTGGTTTCAACTCTGTGCTTTCAGATTCCGAAAAACGTATAGCATGTCTCCTCCCTCTCTTACTGCTTCCATACTCTTCCCCACTGATTTCTTCCCAGGCAGTAAATAACATAACGAAAATGTACTACACATGTTCTTCAGAAATGCAAACCCCAAAGACATAGGGGAATGAATATAGCTGAACTGACTTCTATTTCTATCTGATCATCTGAACCAATCCAGTAACGATATAAAGCTAAATTTATCAGCCATTTCAAATATTTAGCTTTACATCAGCAGTTTCAAATAAGGATCAATGGGTTTCCTCCAGTCCTTAATTACACTAATGAGCTTCACATTTGTTTTCTCTTATGTACATATTTAACAACAAAAAAGATAGATATAACGTGGCATGAGTCTAACATACGACACTGTTCACTAAAAGCTGATGTAAAACATCATAATGTTTTTCCTCCATTACATCCAAAACATACGTCAGGATTAACAGCCACTTTTTTTGGTCAGATACTACCACTGATCACGTATTTATTTGGTGTATGATTGTATAACC